GCTGCGTCCACACTGGAGGGTTTCTATGATTCTAAGTGAATTGTGTGACTTTTCGTTGCATACACTTTGGCTATCAGTGATAAAATAACAAATTTGAGGACTAATATCCTGTTTTGCCCGGGTGGGGTGTTTAGAGGTGAGAAAACTTGCAGAGTTGGCAGCCCTAGTCTTGCGCTGTAAATTACCATTAATAGTTTCCATGCAGCCGGATGTTGATTTAAACTAAAGGAGGCCCCAAAAGCTTTTTTGTCACCTAGTCATTTCATAATGTTTGACCATTGGAGTCAAATCTTAGCAGAAGCGTAAACAGTTTGCCAAGAAAAGTCTTGCATGAACCACAGTCACTGCTTTGATCAGGATGTCTGTGACCTGCCAATAAAAACAGCCATTTTGCAGTTCTTTGGCCTGCAGCTCACTTTTGGTGTTCGACTTCACATAACAATAAACACTGACAACATTGAGTAGAATTCTAATGTGGCGCTGCAATCTCCCAAAAATATTTAACAGCGGACTGATCATACTGGCTGTATCCAACAATTGTAAAATGTCGGGTTTTATTTTCCTCCCATTTCAGCCAATTTGCAACTCATGTCAGAAGCTCTTCACTCCATGCACTGAAAACATTAGGAACCAGGCTCCACAGTGGTCAGCTGTGGCCTAATGGGTCTCCCTCTCACTGTGAGCCAGCGGAATGGGTTCAATACCCAGTCTGATAGCTAAGCCCACAATCCAGGCTCACGCTTCAGTGGATTATCGAGAAAGCACTGCACTGTCTCCGGGAGGCACTGACTTTTGGATGAAACGTTAAACCCGAGGACCGGGCTGCCCTCACGTTATCGCCTTCCTGTTAGATGGATCTCACAGTGCACAGACTGGCTGCTGTTAATTCAACAGTGACTACAAAAGTACGTCAGCCTCATTGACTTTGGGTGTCCTGAAAAATGGAAGTCGTCCCTCCTTAAGAAGAGGAAAGGAGGAGCAGGAGAGAATGAAAAACGAACTGTGCAACACCCATCTCTGTACTTTTTGAACTGGTGCGTTTTTAGTCACTGTTTATGTTTTTCAGTAACCGTTCGTCTTCAGAGCGTGGAACTGTCTGGCTCTCCTGTTTTACTTGGCAGTGGTTTCTGATTCCCATTTTGATTTGTCGCTGCCGTGTCCAAATGAAAATTAAAAAAGCCAAAACCCTTCTTGAATGAAAATGGCTGATTGCTCCTTGATGATATCTCAGCTTCCAAATGCAAATGATCATCAGAGTGTTGGGAATCCTTACGCAGTGCTGATTCTTTAAGAAGGATCAAGTAGATGGTTAAAAAAATTCGCCTTTAAAGAGGGAATTACTTTATTCAAAATCAAAGGCTTTTTTCAGGTTCCACATTTAAAGTAAGAACTCCAGTGGCAGTTTTAGTCATCAAGTTTTGGGAATCTCATCAATCAGAAAATACAAGTATCATTCACCTGTTGTAATGAGACTGCTCCTAGATGCATAAAGATGACCTCACCAAGGAGATAGTAAGAACTATAGATGATGGAGTCAGAAACAACAGTGTGGAGCTGGAGAAACACAGCAGGCCAGGCAGCATCAGAGGAGCAGGAAAGGGCTCCCTTCCCGCTCCCCCATTTCTGAAGAAGGGTCCCGACCCGAAACGTCTACTTTCCTGCTCTCCTGATGCTGCCTGGCCTGCTGTGTTCCTCCAGCTCTGCACTGTGTTATCTCAACCTCACCAAGGAGCCTGGTTACCAAAGAAGGTTAACTTGCTGCAGAGGTCAAAACTGACACGACACCAGGTTATAGTCCAACAAGTTTATATGAAAACACAAGCTTCCGGGGTCTCGCTCCTTCTTCAGCTGTCAATCTCCACATCATTCTCTCTTCAGATGTTGCCAGAGCTGCTGAGCTCCAGCAATTTGTGTTTTTATGCGTTTCTTATCAAGCCAGAATCCACTGTTTGAGTAGGCTATTGAAATGAAAGATATGTGGCATGCAATTTGATCATTGCAAGCTCTCAAGAACAGAAAGGTCTTAACAACTGGACATTCTGTTCCACTGATGAGATAAATAATTATCGGGTAAGCCATCGGCTGTGTTAGTTCTCACAGATGTTTGTTGTATTCTGCCATCAGGACATACACCCCCAGCATCTTTGGTTGTGTTCCATTTGAAGCGACAGTCAAGAAAGCACAACCACACCTCTACTTCCACAGGAGGCCAAGGAAATTAGGCATGTCCGTAAAGACTCCTTTATCAATCTTTATAGATGCACCATAGAAAGCATTCTATCTGGATGCATCATGGCTCGGTAGGGCAACTGCACTGCCTGGGACCGTGAGAAACTACATAGAGTCATGAACACAGCCCAGTCCATCATGCAAGCCAACCTTTCATTCATGAGCTCCACCTATACCTCCCATTGCTTCAGGAAGGCAGCCAATGTCATCAAAGACCCCTCCCACCCTGGACATGATCTCTACCAACCTCTTCTGTCAGGCAGAAGATACAAAAGCTTAAACACGTGGACCAACAGATTCAAGAACAGTTTCTTCCCCATTGTTGTTAGACTCCCGAAAGGACCTCTCAAATTTTAAGTTTAGTTTTGATCTCGCTCTTTGAGCACCTTCTCTGCAGCTGTAATGTTGCATTCTTCACTGCGTTCTATTACCCTAATGCACTTTCTATGGTACGATCTGCCTGTACTGCACACAAAACAGAACTTTTCACTGTACCTAGTGCACGTGACAATAATAAATCAAATCAAATCAAAAAAGTCAAGAACCACCTAAAGCCTGAGCCACATTATGAGATACCATGCCTTGTGTGAATCTTGCGGCTTTCACCACCTTACTATACTGTTGCTTGGACTCCTTGTAAGGATTGTTCAAATAAGGTTTATAATATCATGAGGGGCATGGATAGGGTGAACAGCCAAGGTCTTTTCCCCAGAGTGGGGGAGTCCAAAACTAGAGGGCATGGGTTTAAGGTGAGTGGGGAAAGATTTAAAAGGGACCTGAGTGGCAACCTTTTGACCAAGAGGGTGAGGTGTATATGGAACGAACTGGCAGAGGAGGAGGCTGAGGCAGGTACAATTATAACATTTAAAAGATATTTGGATAGGTACATGAACAGGAAAGGTTTAGAGGGATATGGGCCAAACACAGGAAAATAGGACTAGTTTAGATTAGGATTATGGTGGGCATGGACGAGTTTGACTGAAGGGTCTATTCCATGCTATATGACTGTAAGACTCTATGGCACTAATGGAGAAGTACCACACCAGTGAATGTGCTGACTTTCAGATGAAGCATTGAACCAAGGCCTCATATGCTTTTTCAATGAAAGATTTAATGTGACCCTACAAAGGCAGAGCAAGAATTTTCTTCCTAATCACCCGATAAATATTTATCTCATCAGTGAAACAGATTGTCCAGTTGTTAAGACATTTCTGTTCTTGAGAGCTTGCTACGATCAAATTGGATGCCATATATCTTTCATGTCAATAGCCTACTCAAACAGGCTGGTCATGTGACCACAAACCTCTTTCTTTCTGGGCAGGGCTTGAGTAGATTATCACCTTGTCTGCGAATCAGCAACCTAACTCAGGGTTTCAACAGTAACAGTCCCTATTCTCGCCCCAAGGGGACAGGTCAGAAAATCAGAATATCCCTGAACCGCTCATGTGAAAGTGGATGCCTGCTCTTAAGATCTCCAGAACAAAAAAAACCCGAAGGAACTGTAGGTGCTGGAAATCTGAAACAAAAACGGAAATAGCTGGAGAAATTCAGCAGGTCTGGCAGCATCTGTGGAGAGAAAGCAGACTTAATGTTTCGGGTCTAGTGACCCTTCCACAGAACGGTCTTAAGACCTCCACACAGCTGCTGAATTTGGAAAATTCAACATTCACCTCTACAAATGGCAGTGTTCTTTTATCATTCTTGTGAGCAAATGGAGTGCAGAAAGAGGCTACTTAGGCCTTCGTGCCTGTTTCAGCTCTCTGAGATAGCTGGTAAATTAGTCCCACTCCTCGGTTAACACTCCCAATATCTGCAAACTCTCTTCCTTTACTAATATTTACCAAATTTTGTTTTGAAAGTTATTAAGTCTGCTTTCTTTCGGACAACACATTTCTGCTCATAACAACTTGTGGGCAGCATGGTGGTTCAGTGGTTAGCACTGCTGCCTCACAGCACCAGGGACCTGGGTTCAATTCCACCCTTGGGTGACTATCTGTGTGGAGTTTGCACATTCTCACCGTGTCTGCATGGGTTTCCTCTGGGTGCTCTGGTTTCCTCCCACAACCCAGAGATGTGCAGGTTAGTTGGATTGGCCATTCTAAATTATCCATAGTGTTCAGGGATGTGCAGGCTAGGTGGATTAGCTATGGAAAATGCAGGATTGTAGGGTAAGGGAGGGGTGGGTCTGGGTGGAGATGCTCTTTGGAGGGTTAGTGTGAACTGAATGGCCTGCTTCCACACTGTAGGGATATTATGATTTCTAATTCATGGAAAACAAATTCCTCAAACCTCTGTTCTCTCCTGCCAGCGAAAACAGATATTGCCCAATTTATATTTTTAAAAGTCTGCAAAAATTTTGAATCTCCTCTCTGGCTTCTCTGCTGTAAGGAGAAGAACTCTCACTTCACATTAGTTCTGGAAACATTGCCTTTTCTCTTTAATTAAATCTCAGACATTCAAGGGGGATCGCTTTGTTTTGCCCTAAAGCGGTTATTTAAGTGATTGATGTGACCGCTGGTGAATTCATGAGGCAATAAATGCTTCCAAGATTCTGATTAAACATTGAGGCTATTGGCAGAGGCATTAAGGAGCACACTGGAGCTATCTTTGCTGAGTGAATGTTGCTGTCTACATTAGAGCTGCTGTTTCCTTTGTGACTTTATTGTGATTTTGCTACATATTTCATGCTCGGTTTTATAAGTTAGTTGTATCCGTGATTGATGGAGTTAATTTCTTTTTAAGTGGGGATTGTGTCAGCCGACCAACAACAACCCGTCTTTATATCACGGTTTCAACGTAAAATAAATGTTCCAAGGCGCTTTACAAGTCTTATGAAATAAAACCGACGCTGAGCCACATTGGTGATACAAGGTTGGATGATCAAACACTTGGCCAAAGAGGTAAGTTTTTAAAAATGTTTTAAAGGGAGAAGCTGAGAGGTTTGAAAGAAGGAAATTCTCAGCAGCTAAAGGCAGGGCCACCAATGCTGGAGTGAGAAAAATCAGGAATACCTCAAAATGCTGGAGTTTGAAGAGCATAGAGATCACAGGATACAAGGTGAGACGTCACCCAGTGAGGGAAGGGCAAGGCCACATGAGATTCGGAATCAAGGATGAGAATGTTAAAACCAAGGCATTATTTAAATGGGAACCAATCAGTGAGGACATTGCAGATCAATGAACAGGGATCCTGATTTGAGACACAGGTAGCAGGGGTTTGAATGATTTCATATGACAGAAAGTGTAGAATGCCGGAGGCCAGCAAATCCAGGAGGCTCCCCATTGAATCCTGAGGACAGAACATTACCTGTCCCTGGATCACAGTTCAGTGACAATACCACTAGGCTGTCACCTCCCCAGCACTGGAAGAGGAAAAGAATTGTCTTTTATTTGAAACAAGCAACATGTTATCTCCGGTTTAAATACGATTTTGTTGAAAATTTTAAATCATCTCCTCAAGAACTGAACCGTGTAATCCAAAACTGGATCTTTGTAACGCTAATTCTCCCTCCTGTAAGCAATGGGGGAATAGCACAGTACAATCACTACTGTCACAATGAAATCAATTACTGCCACAAAAATAAAGAGCCTGCATTTATGTAGTGCCTTCCATGGCGTCAGGAAATCCAAAATTGCCTTACAGGCATTTAGTGTAGTCACTGTAACAATGTGGAAAACGTAACTACCTATTAATGCACGGCAATGTCCCACAAAGAGCAATAACAACTGACATTGACATTGCACCTTCAATGCACTTAAATGTTCCAAGACACTTCACAGGAGTTCTAGCCAGCTAAATTTAACTAAAGATATATGACTATAAGGACAGACGTCCAAATGCTTGATCAATGATGCAGGTTTAAGGGAGCATCTCAAAACAGGAGAGAGAAACAGACAGATTTAGGGAGGGAATTGTGGACCTAAGGACTGTGGCAGCTGAAGGCGTAGCTGCCAATGACATGTGTGATAACCAATCAGATGCTGTTTCTTGGTGATCTTTGTCGAGCGACTAATGTTGGTCAGGACACTGAGGAGAATTCGTCTGCTCTTTTCCAAAATAATGTGGGATCTTTTATGTCCTCCTGAGGCATAAGACAGGGTCCAAATTTAATGATTTATCTGAAAGATGACACCTCTCACAGTGCCACGCTCCCTCTTTCTGACACTGGAGTGTCTGCCCAGATTTTGTACTGAATTGGGACTTGGCCCAACAATTGGCTGACTTAGAGGCTACTGGTATCAAGTGAGCCACAACTGATACCGTGGCCTTTATGACAAGAGTTGGAGAAATTTTTGTTTTATATTGGGTCTGAAAGGCATGAACGTAGAAATAGTTAAATGATTTGTGGGTCATGGCATTCTATTTTACACAGACTTCCTGGACCTTTGATGAGTTGATCTTAATTTGGGAGGATCTTTCCCAAAACTCTTAATATCTTGGCTTTTTGTTTTGGCTGTTGTTGTTGACATTCTGTCAGGGACCAGTCGGGTTGACTCTGAAGGGACTAGCAAGTTATCTTGTTTAAGAAGCAGACAGCTGCCACCACCTCAGGACATCTGAGGGTGAAATCTAAAACCAAATAGCAAGAAGGATTTACACCTTGACTTACATTTGCCATTATCCTTGCTGTAAATCAGGACAGCCACATCGACTCAGAGTTCTTCACCATTACTCCATCTGAGATTATCAAGTTCAGCACAGTACTTCATTGTTATCATATGGCAATGCACTAGCTGTGACACTGCAATGTCTCTTCAGGTCATATTGATTCTCAATTAACTGTTGATTAACTCACAGGGAATCAATGGGCTCCATTTTTGACTTAGACTCCTTAGATGACTTAGAATCCCTACAGTGTGGAAACAGGCCCTTCGGCCCAACAAGTCCATACCGATTCTCACAGCATCCCACCCAGACCAATCTCCCTTATAACCCACCTAATCTACACATCCCTGAACACTATGGGCAATTTAGCATGGCCAATCCACCTAGCCTGCACATCTTTGGACAGTGGGAGGAAACCAGAGTACCCAGAGGAAACCCGCGCAGACATGGAGAGAATGTGCAAACTCCACACAGTCACCCGAGGCTGGAATCTGAACCCAGGCCTCTGGTGCTGTGAGGCAGCAGTGCTGACCACTGAGCCACCGTGCCATGGATGGGTGATCTCCTCCCTTCCCTTTCCACTCTGATGTGCAAGAGGAATGTTCCAATCAACTTGAAGGCTCGATAGAGCAATTTCAACAATCTACATATTTGTCAGTTTCTGTTCTATGGAAATCTAAGCATGAGGAGAGGATGATAGGTTCTTTTTTAAAGTAGGGGTGGTATTTGTGATTCAGAAAGGAAAGGGAGGCTGAAATGGCCATACCACAGTCTCTAAGGATGATAATACGAAAACAATGAGATAAATATTTTAATATTTCTCACTTCACATCATCCATACATGTCATTATCCCAAGAGGTTCAGACTCTTTCTTTTGGGAAACATTGGGTAGATTTGCAATGTCGGTAGTGATTCTTACATTTTGAGCCCATATTGTTACGATAGCCAATTTTCTTCCTGCCAGCCAAGATACCTTTTTTTTCAATATGAATCCAGCAGTGGTCGTATGTGACTCAACTCTCAGTGTAGTTTCTGGACAGGGCTTTTGTTTCTGCTCTTTTTGGCAGAAGTAACGTTGACTTTTGCCTAGCTTTAGGCTCTACAATGGTGCAGATTTTTCAATTGGCTGTTTGGAAGTTTGTGCAGTAAACTGGACAGTACAGTTACGTGCAATCACTTGGGTTTATTTTATTCATTCAGGGGATGAGGGTGCTGCTGGCTAGCCCAGCATTTATTGCCCATCCCTAATTGCCCAGAGGGCAGTTAAGAGTCAATCCTATTGCTATGGTTCTGGAGTCACATGTAGAGCAGACCAAGTAAGGATGCCAATTTCCTTGCCTAAAGAACATTAGTGAACCAGATGGGCTTTTCTGACACTCGACATTGGTTGTTATTAGACTCTTAATTCCAGATATTTATTGAATCCAAATTATACCATCTGCCATGGCAGGATTCAGACCCTGGTCTCCAGACTATTACCTGGTCTCTGGATTAACGGTCCAGTGATAATACCACTAGGCCCTTGCCAGTGAGCCAGTTTGCATTTCATTATGCAACAGCATCGGCTGTTACTTTTAGTAAGGAATTTGATGCAATCTCAGCTAAACTAATCACAGAATTCCAGCCATGATATCAGCACCTATTCTATCACAACTCAAACTTTTGGATCCTGAAGTGAAAGAATTCAAGACTATTCAAAAGTCAAATTGTGTATATCCTGTTTTAAGATCTTTAGTTAACCTGATTCTATGTCAAGCTCAATAGAATGGATTCATTCAGTGTCCTCCAATACACTAGACACATGGCCAATTGGGATTATAGTTGTGACTATTTGCTTTTTTGATCAGTAAATAAAAATCTGACTGATATACAACTGCACCTCCCAGTCGCGAACCATTTCAACTCCCCCTCCCATTCCTCAGACGACATGTCCATCCTGGGCCTCCTGCAGTGCCACAACGATGCCACCCGAAGGTTGCAGGAACAGCAACTCATATTCCGCTTGGGAACCCTGCAGCCCAATGGTATCAATGTGGATTTCACAAGTTTCAAAATCTCCCCTCCCCCCACCGCATCCCAAAACCAGTCCAGCTCGTCCCTGCCTCCCTAACCTGTTCTTCCTCCCACCTATCCCCTCCTCCCACCTCAAGCCGCACCTCCATCTCCTACCGACCAACCTCATCCCGCCCCCTTGACCTGTCCGTCCTCCCTGGACTGACCTATCCCCTTCCTAACTCCCTACCTACACTCACCTTTCCTGGCCCCATCCCCGCCTCTTCGACCTGTTTGTTTCTTCTCCACCTATCCTCTCCTCTATCCCTCTTCTATCCGCCTCCCACTCTCTCCCTATTTATTTCAAAACCCCCTTCCCCTCCCCCTTTTCTGATGAAGGGTCTAGGCCCGAAACGTCAGCCTCTCTGCTCCTATGATGCTGCTTGGCCTGCTGTGTTCATCCAGCCCTGCACCTTGTTGTCTCGGATTCTCCAGCATCTGCAGTTCCTACCATCTCTGATATACATCCTGTTGGCTATGTAATCACAAAGTCTTTTTATATATATATATAGCACCTTTAATGCAATAAAATATTCCAAGGTGCTTTATGCATGTATTATAAAGCAAATTTTAGCACTGGAGTCAGAAGGAATCCTTAGGACAGGCAACTGAATGCTTGGACAAAGTTGTAGGTTTTAAGGAAAATCTTAAAAGAGGAGGTGGGAAAAGAAACAGAGCAGTTTATGGAGTGAGTTCCAGAGATTAGAGCCACCAGTGATTAAAATCAGGAATACTTAAGAGGTCAGAGTTGAAGGACTATCTGCATTTCAGATGGTTGTAAGTCGGGAAGGATTACAGAGCTGGGAGGGGACGACACCATGGAAGAGTTGGGAAATAATGATGAGGATTTTAAAATAATGCATTGATTAACTGAGAGCCATTATAGGTCCGTGAGAATGGGAGTGAGTGAACCCTTTGAGTTAATGGGCTTTTGTGTGAGTTAGAAATGGGCTGCCACATTCCAGACAGCGTCAGGTTTCAGAAGAACACGAGAGGCCCATCAAGAGAGTATTAGAACAGTCAAGTCTAGAGAAAATTAAGGCAGAGTTGAGAGTTTCAGCAGCAGATGAGTTGAGGCAGGAGTCACACAGAATAAGCATGTGAACTTCAATCCTTTTGTGCACTTGTTGGTAAAACATGGTGAGACAAAACGAAATGTGTGAGTGTGGATGTCAGATATCAGAACACTTAGCATGTGGAGGCTCTAGAGAAGCTGGGATGATTTCCTTGGAGCAAAAAAGACTAAAGAGAGATTCAATAGAGGTGCTGAAGATTTTGAAGGGTATAGATAGAGTAGATTGAGAGTAAGTATTTCCATTGGAATGAGGGTTAGTGACCAGAGAATACACATAATTGAAAGAAGAGCCAGGGGAGGAAGCGAGGAGAATTTATTTTTATGCAGGAAATTGTTCTCATTTGAAATGCACTCCCTGAAAAGGTGATGGCAATAACAGATTTACAATCAGCTTTCAAAAGGGAATGGATAAATATTTGGGAAGGGGATAAAATGCATGGCCATTGAAGAAGAGCAGGAGAGAGGGACTCTTTCAAAGAGCTGGCAGAAGGACGATGGGCCCAATGGCTTCCTTCTGTACCGTAAGATTCTATCTCTATAAAACAGCCAAGCAACATTTATATTATGCTATATATGGTTCAACTTGGCAGCCAGTGCTTAATCCTGATGATCAATTCCCATTTGCACAGCTCCCTTTGATCATTTTTATTGTCCGTGAAAGGCGAAGGGACCTGTCATGTATTTACTTGCCAAAGGGAATTGATCTAATAAAAACTGTCCCTTAATCCATTGGTTCAGTTTAAGGATAGTCCCATTGCTCGTAGCAAAGGCTTGGAGTTTCAATGTAATTTACAGCTATATTTTTCTCTCTTGTTATTACGACAGACGACAACATTGAGCTGACAGCGAGGAGCCACGATTTACTGCCAAATCCCAGCGAGTCACTGACCCAGATAAATCAGGCTCAGCAAAAAATGCTTCATTTTATGGGTGAGATACTCCACTGAAAAGTATTACATTTCCTCAAACACCAGCCAACAGCATCAATTGTACACCAAAAAGAGATCTGAGCTCCCAGGATATCGAATTCATAATAAAAAAGAGAGATTTATGTACATTGTGTTTTGATAGAGAAGGATGGTAAATGAATTTCTGAATCCTTATCTCTTCTCAACAGCGCAGCAACTTCATCCAGTAATTTACTGAACCATGCAAAGTATGGACGTCCCAAGTCTCATCCCCTGCGTGTGCCGAGTAAACAGATTTCATCAGAAGGACTTATATCTCAAGACAACTTGTCTTTCTATGTGGAGTCTTTAATATCGCAAATATCCCAAGATTCTCCGCAGCAGCAAACAAAACTTCACCACAAGCCTCAGTCTTATTAGGGCAGGCGATCTAAAGCTTGGTCAAAGAATTACGTTTTAAGGAGCACCTTAAAAGATACAGGAGAGAGATAAAGAGGTCTAGAGAGGGCTTTGCAGAATTTAGTGCCTCGGCAGCTGGTGGAGCAAAGGAAACTGAAGGTGCACAGGAGGCCAAGATTGGAGAAACACAGTGATAACAAGGTGTAGAGCTGGATGAACACAGCAGGCCAAGCAGCACCAGAGGAGCAGGAAAGCTGATGTTTCGACCCTAGACGCGTCTTCAGAAATGGGAGAGGGGAAGGGGATTCTGAAATAAATAGGGAGAAAGGGGGAGGCGGATAGAAGATGGATAAAGGAGAAGATAGGTGGAGAGGAGACAGACAGGTCAAGGAGGCGGGGTTGGAGCCAGTAAAGGTGAGTGTAGGTAGGGAGTTAGGGAGGGGATAGGTCAGTCCAGGGAGGACGGACAGGTCAAGGGGGCGGGATGAGGTTAGTAGGTAGGAGATGGGGGTGCGGCTTGAGGTGGGAGGAGGGGATAGATGGGAGGAAGGACAGGTTAGGGAGGCGGGGACGAGCTGGACTGGTTTTGGGATGCGGTAGAGGGAGGGGAGATTTTGAAGCTTGTGAAGTCCACATTGATACCATTGGGCTGCAGGGTTCCCAAGCGGAATATGAGTTGCTGTTCCTGCAACCTTCGGGTAGCATCGTTGTGGCACTGCAGGAGGTCCAGGATGGACATGTTGTCCAAGGAATGGGAGGGGGAGTTGAAATGGTTCGCAACTGGGAGGTGCAGTTGTTTGGGCGAACCGAGTGTAGGTGTTCCACAAAGCGGTCCCTAAGCCTCCGCTTGGTTTCCCCGATATAGAGGAGGCCACAACGGGAACAGCGGATACAGTATACCACATTAGCAGATGTGCAGGTGAACATCTGTTTGATGTGGAAGGTCTTCTTAGGGCCTGGGATTGGGGTGAGGGGGGAGGTGTAGGGGCAGGTGTAGCACTTCCTGCGGTTGCAGGGAAAAGTGCCGGGTGTGGTGCGGCTGGAGGGGAGTGTGGAGCGGACAAGGGCGTCACGGAGAGAGTGGTCTCTCCGGAAAGCAGATAAGGGTGGGAAGGGAAAAGTGTCTTTGGTAGTGGGTTCGGATTGCAGATGGCGGAAGTGTCGGAGGATGATGCGTTGGATCTGGAGGTTGGTGGGGTGGTACGTGAGGACGAGGGGGATTCTGTTTTGGTTATTATTGCGGAGAGGGGGTGTGAGGGATGAGTTGCGGGAAATGCGAGAGATATGGTCGAGGGCGTTTTCGACCACTGTGGAGTGGAAGTTGCGGTCCTTGAAAAACGAGGACATCTGGAATGTCAGGGAGTGGAATGCCTCATCTCGGGAGCAGATGCGGCGGAGGCAAAGGAATTGGGAATGGGGATGGCCTTTTTGCAGGAAGGTGGGTGAGAGGAGGTGTACTCTAGGTAGATGTGGGAGTCGGTAGGCTTGAAATGGATATCGGTTTCCAGGTGGTTGCCAGAGATGGAAATAGAGAGGTCCAGGAAGGGGAGAGAGGTATCGGAGATGGTCCAGGTGAACTTAAGGTTCGGGTGGAAGGTGTTAGTGAAGTGGATGAACTGTTCGAGCTCCTCGTGGGAGCACGAGGCAGTGCCGATACACCCCACCTACACTCACCTTTACTGGCTCCAACCCCGCCTCCTTGACCTGTCTGTCTCCTCTCCACCTATCTTCTCCTTTATCCATCTTCTATCTGCCTCCCCTTTCTCCCTATTTATTTCAGAATCCCCTTCCCCTCCCCCATTTCTGAAGAAGTGTCTCGACCCGAAATGTCAGCTTTCCTGCTCCTCTGATGCTGCTAGGCCTGCTGTGTTCATCCAGCTCTACACCTTGTCTCAGATTCTCCAGCATCGGCAGTTCCTACTATCTCTGGAGAAACACAGTGATCTTGTTGGGTTTTGGGTAGGAGAAGCTGACAGCAATAGGAAGACATACAGCCATGGAAGAAGAATTTGACAGTAAGGGTGAGAATTTAAAATTCAAGGCTAATATGAGTCTGTATGGATGATGGGTGAATAGACGAAGTGTGAGTAACAGAGGGCTGGTGGTACAAGGCTAGCTTGATGACCATTGGGAGGTACAAGCATATTAACAAGGGTCCCAACAGCATATGAACCAAGGAACAGGCAGAAATTGCTAATATTACAGCATTGGAAATAGTCAGTCTTAGTGGGTATCAGGTCCAAACTCAGCTTTGGATCAAATAGGATATGAATGTTGTGAACACTCTCGTTCAGCCTCAGACAGTTTTGTTTTTAATTTGCTCATGAGACATAGATGTCGAAGGCTAGGCCCAGTATTTATTGCCTGCCCCTAGTTGCCCTTGAGAAGGTTGTGATGGACTGTCTTCTAGAACCACTGCAGTCCATGAGCTGTGCGTAGACCTCCAGTACCAAAATGGAGGCAATTCCTGCATTTTGACCCAGTAGCAGTCAAGGAACTATATTTCCAAGTCACCTTTGCAAGGGGAATGGATGGAGCCCATGGCCAGGGAATGATGTTCATGGCAGGGATTGAAGAGAATGGTTTTGATGCTTCCACCTTTAATCAGAGGAAATTTGTTATGAACAGGTGTGGGCAGGTAGTGCATGAGTTCCATGTGACCACTCCCTTCTCAAACAGATATACCATGTTGGATACTGTTGAGGGGGATGGCCTTTCAGAGGAAAGCAGCCACAGCCAGGTTTGTAGCACATTGGTTGGCTCTGCTGTGCAGCAGGGGAGGAAAAAGACTAGAAGAGCTTTACTGATAGGGGACTGTATTGTGAGGGGAACTGACAGGCAAGTGACCGTGGCAGCAAGGAGACTGTAGGATGGTATGTTACCTTCTTGGTGCCAGTGTCAGGGATGTCTCAGAGCAGCTGCAGGGCATTCTGAAGGTGGAAGGTGAAACAGCCAGCAGTTGTGGTATGTGTCAGTGCTAATGACTTGGGTAAGTAAAGAAATGAGGTTCTGCAATATGAATTCAGAGAGTTAGATAGTGGATTAAAGAAGGGGAATAGTGCAAGGAGATGCATTGTGGGAGGTCTAATAAAGGAAGGATATATACCATAAATGTAAGTCCCCAGGGAGTACTGAGGAACAGGACAAGTTCATAGATCCCTGAAGGTGTCAGCACAGGTAGACAGGGTGCTGAAGAAGGGTGGTGAAGTTGATTGCCTTCATTAACCGGGGCATAGAATGTAGGAGCAAGGGAGTATTGTTACAACTTTATAAAGCATTGGTTAGGCCACAGATGGAACACTGTGTGCAATTTTGGTCGCCATGCCATTGGAAAGACATGATTGCGCTGGAGAGAGTGCAGGCAAGATTCACCAGGACGTTGCCTGGGATGGAAAGTCTCAGTTACGAGGAGAGGTTGGATAGGGTGGTTTTTTTCCCTTGGAGCGAAGCAAGCTGAGCAGGGGCTCTGGTTGAGGTATACAAAACTATGAGGTGCATAGACAGAGTGGATTGTGAGAATCTTTTCCCCATGCCAGACTTATCTAAGGCCAGGGGACATATGTTTAAGGTGAGGATGAAATAGTTTAGAGGAGATCTGAGGAAAAGAATCAGGCAGAATATGAAACATGCTGCCTGAGAGGGTGGTGGGAGGCAGGTACTCTTGCAACATTTAAGAAGCATCCAGATGAGCACTTAAAATACCAGGACATAATAGGCTATGGACCAAGTGCATGGTAAATGGGATTGGTATAATTTGGTGTTTGTTGATTGACATAGATATGGTGGGCTGAAGGGCCTGTTTCTATGCTCTATGACTCTAGACGTCAAGCAAATTGGTGAGGTAGAGTTAGGTATTGTCAGCATATATATGGAACCTGATCCGTCTTTGGATGGTACCACTGAGAGCTAGCAGATGGATGTGAAGTTGGAAGAGGTCAAAGATTGACCCTTGGGGGAAATCCATGCAGTAATATGTGAAGAAGTTGATTCTCTGGCCATAACAAGATAAATAAGAATGGAATTGGGCAAGTCCAGTCCCATTCATCTCAACAACAGTGGAGAATCCTTGTAGGAAGCTGATGTAACCAAATTTGTCAAAGGTTGCATGCAGGCAAAGAAAGATGAGCTGGGATGGTTACCACAATCACAGTCACATAATTTGTCAGCTATTTCAGCTGTGGCAGGGCTGGAAACCAGATCTAAAGATTCATGTGAGGAGCTGAAAGAAAAACAGGCACAAATTACGAGGCCATAATATGTTCAATGATTTTGGAGAGGAACATTTGGAGATGGGGGTAGAAGCTGGCGCGGATACAGAATGGGTTTTATATGATGAGGGATTAATGATGGCAGAATTGAAAGGGAGGGCAACAGCGTCTGAAGGGAGGGAACCCATTTACAATAACAGCTATCATGGAGGACAAGAAGGGAGGTCTAGGTAGTCAGCATTTTAGTGGAGATTGGACAGAGAGAGCTGGAAGCAATTCTAATATATTTCATTTTAGATAGCCAGATGTCGAGGGATAGAATGGGAGCCTAGTCTCGATACATCATATAACCTGTTATTTGCAGAAATGCACATGACAAGTATGTGCTTCTAAACTTGAAAACCACAGATTTGGT